AAGAAGAAAGGTGGGTGAATTTTCATTCCTCATTTGGCAAAAATCAAGTTCTGAATTCCAATATGACCTGCTGGGTATCAAGGGCTTACGAGTGAGCATCTGGCTCAAGAGACTAAGCAAACACTTCCTACCTTCTTGAAGTAAATTATATTATATTACAAGCAAATTTTATTAAATAATTAGTTCTAGTTAAGTTATTATTTGTTTATTGCATTAAATTATTGTACACATATTCTGGTTTTTGTGTTAAAACAATCTGCATTAAAAGCATCTGTGAGGAAGAATTGGAGCAACTTGTCATCCTTTTTTGATTGATTTTTGAGGCTTGTTTGATTATTTGGAAGACCAATCTATTGTCATTTTATAATCCTATGTATTTTTTTAAAATAATCATAAAACTTATTGCAAATGGTGCTGAAAAACCCCATTTTTCAGACTGCTAATATTTATTTTTTCAATTTGGTGTTTTGCAGAGATAATTACTTCAGCTTGACTCTTCTGTTGTTCCGTGTTGGGAACCAAAAGTTAAGAGAGTATTTCAAGACACAGTGGCCATTAGTTTATCAGGGTGTTAGACCTGGTACAGTACCACCCCCTTGGAATGACACACCACAAGATGCAGCAGAAATGAAAAACAGAGAACGGAGGCTGACATTCAACGGCATAGATGAAGAGACAAAGTTTAACTCAGGAAACACAAACCACTGGGACTTCTCACTTCTCACCTCAGTGCTGCAATATTCATCTTTGAAATTTGTGCTGCCTTCCAGTCCTGAAAGTAAAGCGTTAGATGATCTTAAAAAAATCCGTAACGAACTAATAGGACATGCTACTGATGCAGCAATACCTAATGCATTATTCCATACAGCATGGACAGACGCCTGCAATGCATTAGCACTGTTCAATGCGTCTAAGGCTGACTTCAAGTGTGTACAAGATGGTATGTAGTCCTCAGTCATGCTGTATTATAGATATCAATATATTATAACAGTTTTGTTAATGTGTTTTGTTTGATGAAAGTATCTGTACATTAAAAGTGGCAATATATATCACTACGATGTATGATAATCATGTAACAGTTAATGACCAGCCAACACATGTCAGTCAATATTTGGCTGACTGATGTACGTTTGCCAATGGTCGACCAATGCTTCACCAACACTTAGTGGACACATCACCAACACTACATTCACTCACTCTCTCTTACTTACAAAAGATTTTTAATCTGAGGATATTTGAATCTAGATTTATATTATGTCAAAAGCTTTTTATGGAATACACGTATATTTAGATGACAGTTACTGCATTATTGTTGATAAATAAGAGTTTTAAGTATACTATATAATGTTACTGACAACGTTCGTTCTTGATATTGTTAAATACAGATGTGAAAAAGCCATTGGATGTGTTGTACCCAATGCTGAAACAGTGTGTTAAACAAGAGAAAGAAGTAAAAGATTCTGTTGACACAAGTGAGTTAACACCATGTTAAGTTTTCTTAAAGATCTTGTTGAACAACAAATATTTTTCGATTTATAAAAAGCTGAGATAGTATAGGCTTGACTGAGAGTAAGAATGAAAATAAGTGTGTAAGATACCAAGCAGTTATCCCCGGGGGGCGGGGGGTACTACCTCCCCAACTTGGGTAGGGGTGTGCCACCAGGACCTCAAAACCCTGACCCTATCCCAGACCTAAAATTTTGA